TCAGGGCTCAGGGAAGAAGCTCTTACAAGTGCTTTCAAAGTCCTGCATTTCAATCCACCTACCTCCACTGGACTCTCCACTGCTTTGGCCCCCAAGTAAAACTTTTTGATACCTGCAATACCATGTTCATTGGTGGGGAGTTTTCTATACCAAGTATCCATCAGGGAGTTTTCTATACCAAGTATCCGTCAGTCCTACCTGAATCAAACACCTTAATTCAACCTGTCTGCCTTTTCCTTGGGCTGAAAGTGGCCACCAGGTGGCCTCAGAGTCTACTGCCATCCCAGTTTTAAATAAGTCTGCTTCTCGTGTGGTTAGGTTTGTTCAGGAAATCATTGCATTCCTGAGTAGGGAAGATACATCCTAGATACATTTTTTTTTTTTTTAAGGTAGGCTCCACGCCCAACGTGGAGCCCAACCTGGGGCTTGAACTCAAAACCCTGAGATCAAGACTTGAATGGAGATCAAGAGTCAGATGCTTCACTGACTGAGCCACACAGGCGCCCCTCTGGTTGCATTTTTAATTTAGTTAAGCAATTTCTTGCCGTTTGGTTCCTCAGCTCAGCTTTCAGCAAAATGACAAAGGAAGCACAATTTAGGCTGTGTCTTCATCTTTGCCTGGAAACCTTGGGCTCCTTGCCTTTTCCTTTCCTTAAAATCTGCTCCAAGGAAAAGCAAACATGGGTTTGTTGATGGCCATGATGAGGTTACCTGTCAGGGGATGCTTCACAGTAAGTGTGACTGAGCTCCTTGGTCTGTCAGCCTCTCTGCAAAGGAAGCTCAGGCAGGGCATCAAGAAGCTGGGAAGTCGTGTAGAAACACCACCATCAGTGTCTCCTTGAGTGGGTCACTTAGCCTTTCCTGGACTTTGGTGTCCTCACCTATAAATGAAGAGATTATTGAACTCCATGGACTCAAACACAAATCCCTCAGAACCTCGGGGGATAACGTCAATCTATGAAGAGCCTGAAGAGTGGTTTAAGACACAGGAGGTTGGGTTGACTAAAGTAGAATTGGAAAGTGCACACTCTGCTGAAAGGCATTCAAATGTAAACTTTTAAAAACATTGAGTAGACCAAACAAGATACGTCTGGGCATTGAATGTGTCCAGAACGCTGCCAGTTTGTAGCTCATGGACTAGAGAATCTTTATCACTATGGTTTCTCCTAGGCCTGAGGTTCTGTAAACACTCAGTAATTTGCTTATGCTCTTCTATCTGCTTGGAATTATTAGCCATTACTATCATTCCCCATCATCTCTGCATGTCTAAACCCTAATTCCTTCTTATAAAACCCACTCAAATGCCACCTACTACAGGAAGTTTCCCTAGATTTTTCTCTCTAAATCAGAAAACATTTTCTCTCTACCTTGAGTTCTTCTAGCATTCTAACCTTCTTCATGGCTCTTTTTGCCTTTTTTTTTTTTTAACTGTATTATAGTTATTTACATGCTGGTCATCAATCTTTATATGTATATATATCTAGAGAGAGAGAGGGAGAGAGAGAGAGTGCTCCTTGTGGGCAGAATCCATGTCTTACTGAGTTTTGTATCTCCACCACCTGGAAAATCAGCTAACAAATATTTACTGAAGGCCTACTCTGTGCTAGACATGGTTTTAGTTGCTACTCTTAGCATATAGTAGTAGGGACTCGATAGATGCTTGCTAAATGAATGGTATTAAATGGCCAACCAGAATAATGAAAAGAAAAAAGGCAGATAATACCAAGTGTTAGGGAAGATGTAGAGCAATCCTCATACTCTGTTGGCCCCAACAGAGTTTGCTCTCTACTGTTTCCCATCATTATCTCATGTTGCATGGCAAGAGGGATTTTGCAGATGTAACTAAGGTTACTGACCAGTTGACCTTAAGATAGGGAGGTTATCTGAGTGGGTCCAATTTAATCATATGAGTCCTATTTATTTGTTTATTTATTTATCTATATATCTGGTTGTCTGTCTATCTATTAAAAAACATGACTTTATACTGATCCCTCCAATTCCATTCTAACACAGGGGTCATTCTATCCTTTCCCTTTCTTATTTGTAATTCCTTTCTCTGACCATAAAAACTCGGGTGTTTATTATTATTTTTTAAAAGATTTTATTTATTTATTTGACAGAGAGAGACACAGTGAGAGAGGGA